GTATGATGTATGTATGTATGTATGTATGTATGTATGTATGTATGTATGTATGTATGTATGTATGTATATATATATATATATATACATGTATGTATATATGTATATATATGTATATGTATATGTGTATATGGTTATGTTTATGTTTATGTATATATATTTGCATGTATGCCAGTAACACGCACGAATAAACACACGAGTGCACACCTATGTACACCAATGTGAACGATCATATGTGAATGGATGCAAAATTGATTATTTCGGGATCTACGTACATATATACACCCAAACACCTTGATTATTCTCAACCCGACCATCGGATCTCTATCAACAAATATACATGCATTGGGAATAAAGGTGATGGCCCATCGGACCTGCGGATGTTGTCAAGAAAAAACCTTTGGAATTTTATTCAAAAGAGGGCAGTTCTGTTACTTATGCTCGCATAAGATCTGTAGTTCTTGCACCACAGAGCGACCGATTGGTTCTAAGCCGAATGCGCACGTGTGCTTGTCGTGCAACGAGACGTTAGCAGGGGTATGTAATTTATATCTCGCGATTTGATCGTTCTAGTTTTGTGCTTGTCTACTTCACTTGTAATCGACATCAACAGATATTAGCAGAAATCATGCGTATTCTTATGAATCCTCGTGGAGTATGCTATTGGCGTATATTTCGACTCTGGCTCCCGTACTAGGTTCTGTATACATTTAAACCACTTATATATCAACGACTTAAAACGAGTGGAATACGAAGGTTTACATCTAGGCACTGCTGCCATTTTGTTGATGAGTACAATATTTCTGATCATCTTTAATTTATTCCCTTTTACAGTTTACCAGCGTCGTCGATTAGGCGTGCTCTGAAGCCGAATTGACTCCAAAATCGCGAAGGGGTGCATATAAAATAAATCTAGATTTGAAAGTATATTTTGCACCTCGTATTTAGTTCCTATATATATATATGTGTGTGTGTGTGTATATATAATATATATAAATATCCTGAATTTAGTAGCATCCTATCTTGTTCGGTAGGCAAAAAAGTGCTACACTGTAGAACAGTTAGCATTTTGAATGGAATATGTTTTCCAATATCGGCGGGCCATACTATTGTAAGTCACAGCTTGTATTCAACTTGTGGCGTCAAAATGAAGTGTAACTATTCATCAATCCGTTCTAGACTGATAGCTGACTTCCAGCTGGTGCTCTACTATATGTGATAGTTATCGACACCAGTCTGAACTTTAGTGAAATGACCATATTGGCAGGCTACAAAATTTCATAACAGTAGTTCTTTATCGGGATCCTGTTTTGTAAATTGCTTAGCTCTGGTCCGAACATTTGGTTTAGTGTGACAGAATTATTCAGTCCAGAATAAACATTAATATAGTCCTCAACTAGTACTGGAGGTTCGTCACCTGAAATCAACAAATAGTACTTTCTACTAATTATGATGCACGGCAGGTGTGGTATTTGTCCACATTGAACTGACAAATAATAACGGTGTGTGTTTACCTCTAATATCATGAAACGGATGAGCAGTACCCTTGAAAGGCGGTTGCGTGTTCACAGTAAACCCCGCGAGAGACAATGACAAATCAATCGTGCACAATACTTTTGATTCCGTTTCTGGCGTACAGTCCGTCCCGCATTCGCTATCTGCGTGACCAGGCACCTATACTTTAAGTAAATGAAACATGTCTAACGATGATACTCTCGGTACATTTACCGATGTACGACGAACAAGTTGAAAAAAATGTGAAAATTGACTGGTGCAGGAATCGAACCTACGCCGACATACGTCGATGGCAACTTGAGTGCCACGCCTTAACCGCTCGGCCAACCAGCTTGTGATTAGAATTTCTAAATAATATATAAATTATTTAATAATATAAAAGAACCATTGTTCGCAACTCACTTGTAAAGTGGTTAAATACTTCATTCGTGAAATCCCATCGGCTCTCCATACAACAGTATGAGGGTGTCACCTCAAATACTACTTGATATTATAAAATTAAATGTATCTTCATGAGGCTCGTGCATAAAGGCTGACAAAAAGATGTTCATATCATGAGAATGTAAATACGGGATGCTGTCTCCTGTGGCACGAAGTAAAGTGCCTCGGGCGTCAAGTGGATGTGAGGTTACGAAGATAGACAGAAAGGGTCAACTTTACGATACCGAGAATTCGCTTGCAAATTAATGTATACGCAAAGCGCTGTTATCACAGCAATATGGTCACTTATAAATACACGATGTCAAACCTTATTAATTCTGTTCTCATTACGAGACGCATATTTACCTCGACTATATTTCGCCACTTTGGTACGAATTGGGTTAGCTACCGCGGTGTTAAGCACAAATCCAACGCGAAGGACAGGGCCATAAATACCAAGAATATACACCATGCGAAAGCTTTCGCCAAAGCTTAAAGCTTTGCTATTATTTAAATACTTGTCGTTATACACGAGGGTAGACTCTAAAACATTTTGAGTAGTCTTGAGAAACTGGAGATTAGCTGTGAAACATTGAACACTCGAGCCTGCGCTGCTCTGCATATATCGCGCGTTACTCAGATATATCGAGTTGAATTCTATGTGAATAATTTGGCTTTTAGTGCGGCCTGCTATGTGCTTTGGTCGTACGATCATATAGCTGATTATATCTCCGATGAATTTTTATAGTTAGAATAGTTGTACTGGCGACTCACGATCAGATATATCCGTGCCACGTAGTGCCAATTCTTGAGCTTTCTTTATAAAAACGTAACGTAGGAATTGGTGGTGTAGGTTTTTTGGCCGATAATGGCATGCGTACGTACTCCACATCAGATAAACGCCGAGAGTAGTAAATAGGGTCTACAATCGTGGCAACGCCATCAACACGTGAGGAAAACATAGAAAAATAGAAAACATTTTTAATATACATGTATTTGTATTATCATCGTAACTTGATTGAGGTAGTGGTTATCCTATATGATTTTGATTCATATTACCCCAGTTCGAATCTGGGATCGAGCTGGATTTTTTCTTCTTTTTTTTTGAATGTCAGACATAGCCTTCTGAGGCTTTGTGTCAGGGTGTATACACAGCGCATGCTGATGTCAATAATCTATTTAAATATGTGTTGCCGGATTTTTACTGTATTTGGGTTCTCTATACATTATTTATAGTTCTACGTTCAAATACTTGATTTAATAACGGGGGAATTGTGTCTACGAGAACCGCGTTTCATTATTTAGCATCAATTAGTGATTTCGTACGATGGAATGTAGAATTACCTCGGTGTACTTGGCCCTTCGGTACTCTTCTGGTTTATGCTTCATCTATCTCTATATAGTGTAGAATCACGATCAAATCATGTCCATGAAACCTGCTTGTAAATATTTAGCTTCGAAGTTTTGCATTTCATTCTATACCTGGTTACTCTATCTCTTAGTTCAGAATAACGGTTGGATCCATTCCGTGAAAACCGCGTTTAAATATCTGACAGCGGAGACAGTAACCTCTTCCACTTAACAGTCAATCATGCAGTAGTCTATTCTGGAAACAATGTCAATGAGTCTTTGTTGGATACTGTATATATATAAATAGTTAGACGAGTTCAGTATGTTAAGTGTAAATGTAGACATATGTAACGTGTAGCAAACCAATTCACGCTGTGCAGTCTTTATGTACGATAATACGAGAAAAAGGTAAGTATCTCTTAAAGTATGAAGAGCAATCCCTGAATATCCCTGTGCCCTACAATAGCTTCGCTGAACAAGTTGAATTGCTCGAGATGTTTGCGAAATAGCGAGGATTCCGTATGAATTATCTTGTCCTGGTATCTGCACATCACCTTGTGTACACATGTACTTCTGTATTGTATGCAAATATGGAGAGAGCACGTACTTGGTATTATTATATTATCCAAAATTAACCTTTGTCTCCCAACTAAATATCAACACGCTGCCGGCAGACTTTATATTGCAAGCACGGGCTCAGCGCATACCGCAGTGCTATCTGTCATAGTGAATGGAAGAGTGGATGTTGCATTTGCTATCTAGGCTGCAGTTGATTACATACAACTAAATATTTGTAAAATTCACAAAGATAGGGAAACGGAACCGCCTGGACGCCGTTTCGCACGTCTTCGACAACGAATTGCCTGTAAGTGTAGATGTCGATATCGAATGTTGTATGCTTGTTCTGTCCATGTACCAGTTCATGTTGTCAATTGTATACGCAAAACCCTGCCGAGCTTCACACTGTTTAACTATGCTTCGGTTGGAATCAGGGTTGAATCATTTCCACGAACTACGTTTGTCGACGGTATACTACAATAGTTGTGTTCCCTAATATATACATATATACTTTGAGTTAGTAATTATATCTCGATCGAGGTTATGTATTTTTTTTTTTAAATTTGAAAGACTTCGCATCAAAGTTGCTTTCTTTACCCTTATTTTAATGCTGCCGGAATAGCTATATTAGATAACTGTGCTTCGTTCAGAATCAGGGGCACATCAGTTGAATTAAACGCTAATGTATGTTTATACCATCAGCCTAGCGGTTTTTCTCGAAGTTTGTTAGAAGACTACACATCAAAGCTGATTCGCTTTTATATACTTGCTGCTGGAAAAGTTATACTTGACATATCTACACCTGGTCGAGCGTATAATCATTTCCATAAAAAAACCGCCATGTGGATGTGTTGTATGGAAACACTTTGTTACGAGGGATCGAACTCAATTTTTCTCGAGTTCTTATCTGTTTTCCATCTCCCTCCGGATATGAGTGCAAAAGTCGTCTCATATAGTGCAGTCAAGAGCTACTTTCTATCAGAGCTGACCTTGTAAGAGTTCTGGTGTCAGATTTAATGTACGGGTAGGACAGAACAGTGAACACATGGAGTGTCGGAGTGTAATGTAGTAGACTTTAAATAAAGTGCAAATATATGTAAGTACCGTTAGTTTGAGTGGGGTCGTATTTAATATTTCTTGAATATTTATCTTCATCTCCAGCCCGTTTCAGATAGGCGTACAAGATTCGGCTCATAAAGTGCAGCCATGTCATATGCTAAACCACTCGTGTATTAACGGTTATGGTTGCTACTACACCAAAGGTGAACGATGTAAGAGTTCTAGTATTAGATATACTGCGTGGGTAGGACGGAACAGGGAACACTAGGATACCAAAACAAACCAGCTGCTGCATATATTTTACAAGGCAAGGGTTCTGCAAAAGTCATAGCCGACCCAGTACACATCGCCCACCGCCCAAATATTTGAAAATTCTGCTGAATCAGTGAAGGCAAATACGCTGACCATTTTTAATGAATTGTGTTGAAGTCTACAGCTATTGTTTGAAGGTGGTGGTTTTTATCCGTGATGATTGTATATCTGAATCCTTGATAAAGTAGGGACATTTTCAACCCAGAAGCAATTGAATGTACACTGACTGGAATATTCTCCGTTACATATATATAAATGCAGTAGAAATGTCAAAGGCGAAAAGAATGGCTGAAAACGATGTAGTGAGTGCAAGTCTATGATACCTGTTTGGATTCGATAGTATATATTCATCTGAAGTTCTGGAGAGGACGCGGGTTTCGTTCAAGAATCCCACGCTAACGAACAGGATAAGTACCAGATTATATGAGGGACCGTGTTTACGTCAACATCATTTTGCGAGGGATCGAACTTCATTTTTCTCGAGTTTCTATCCTTTATCCCCAGCCCCTTCCAGATATGAGTACAAATCTCACCTCATATGGCCAGTTTATATGTTTAATTATGTTAAGTCCACAGTGATTGTTTGAAAGCGATGGTCTTTACATTGATGATTATATAACTGGTGCCTTAGTGAAATAGCGGTCTCCTCGAACCTTGAGCAAATGGTCGCCCATCAACTGGAACATCCCCGTTAAATATACAGTAGAAGTAGCAAAGGCAAACAGAATGGCCGAGTATGACGTAATATGTGTAAGTCCACGCCAACTGTTTGGGCGCGATGGTAATTATCTTGAAGAAGTTCAACAGGTGTTCGGACGAGAACGTGGGTTTTAAGTACCAAACTATATGAGGGACTGTATTATAGATCAACATCAGTTTACGTAGAATCACACTTGATTTTTCTCGAGCTTTTATATAATTCTCTCAGCCCCTTACAGATTGGAGTACAAGATTCGTCTCATATGGCTAGTCATGTTGAATTGTGTTTACGTCGAGAGCCGTTTTTTTGTTGTTGTTGAAAACGATGGTGTTTACATTGATGATCATATATCTGGTGCCTTCTTGACGAAGCGGTTTTCTCGAGGCGGAGCAAAGAGACGCCCATCGACTGGTATATTCCCTGTTACATATATCTAAATACAGTAGAAGTATCAAAGGCAAACAGAATGGCTGAAAACGATGTAGTGGGTGCGAGTCTATAATAACTACTTCGATTCGATGGATTCGATGGTATTTATCTTGAAGAAGCTCTACAGATGTTCGGACGAGAACGTGGGTTTTAAGTACCAAATTATATGAGAGACCGTACTTGGATCAACATCAGTTTGCGTGGGATCGAGCTTGTCCTTCTCGAGTCTTTATTTGTTTTTTCCCCAGCCACCTTCAGATAAGTACAAAACTCGTCTCATATGGCCAGTTATGCTGAGTTGTGTTTAAGACTACAGCGATTGTGTATTGTGTCTACATTGATGATTGTTTAACTGGTATCTCAGTAAGGAAGCGGTTATCTTGAACCGGAAGCAAATGGCCACCCATCGACTGGAATATCCCCGCTAAATATACAGTATGTAGTATCAGAGAGCAACTATGCGACTAAACAACTAATACTTCGAATCGAGCGATCTGTGTCACACCCCACATGGGATGTTTTCGGATTACCACCGCGACGTTGCTGATATACTTATTCATCCCGGTTGTTCTTCATACTAGTAGCTGACTTGACATCGCACACGACTGCTAAACATTTTGTGTCCCGGAGTCAACATCTGATTACATGATATATTGACATATTAAGGCTGGCAACCTTTTCCATACCGATAAAACTTTGAAGTGTACGCGATAGTGGATCTAAGAGCGATATTTCGAATTGTTCAATTGAATACCATGATTTCATCGATAATAACACGATAACGCTGCTGCTAGGAAGCAATTACGACCCGTCTTCGACATATAGCAATATACTTATCCATCACGGTTGTTCTTCATACTAGTAGCTAACTTGACATCGCACACGACTGCTAAACATTTTGTGTCCCGGAGTCAACATTTGATCGCATGATATATGTACATAACAAGGTTGGCAATCTTATCCATGCCAATAAAACTTTGGAGTGTACGCGATAGTAATTTTAAGAGCGATATTTTGAATGGTTCGATTGAATACCATGATTTCATAAATAATAGCACGATTGTTAAATGAATCCAGGTTTTGATACGAACACTTGGAAAAAAAGGTTAGGGGAAATCCAGCAGCAAGTCTAAAGGTCGGCGAGACCGCGATTTGGTCGACATCAGGAATGGAAATAGTAACATATTATTAGCACTGCACGTTCGCTAGAACTGTCGTGCTCACATACACCAGCCCCTGGTTATCCATCATACAATAATATATATGCTACAATATTCCCCTACGGCAATTACAACATGGAATTTTTCGAGTGACAAATCTTTAAGGGCTTCCTCGCAGGCCATTCAAAATAAAAAATGGAGAGATGTTTTGTGCAAACAAAGCTAGATTTTAGAGCGATATTTCGAATGGTTCGATTGAATAACAGATATCCATGAATTCAGCATGACACTTGCAAACACAACTTTCATATAATGTTAAGCGATGCGCTTTTCTTACTGACTGGACAGAACAAGACATGATCGATTTCTAGCGTTAGCGTGTGTCGCAACACCTGCACAGTTTCTACTGGCGACAAAAAACATGAGTAACTGCTATACGGTATTTGTTGTTAAAATTTATGTGCGCTAAGCACAGTGGTAGTTATCACACTGCCAAATACTGTTAGTTTTGGCGATATACGAACTCATCGGTTCTGTTACGCGCGGCAGAGTTGCATAATCTTTCACACCTCGCTGAACAAGATTCGGTCTGTCCACGAAGATTGAATGCCTGCGTTCATGTCAGACCTCGCACGAGTGCAACACCACCAGCCATAAGCCGTGCATCTTTTGGCGAATTGTGTCCTATACCATTTTTTCATAATAATAACACGATAGTTAAATGCATTCAGTTTTTGATACGAACACTTGGAAGAAAGGTTAAGGGTCCAGCAGCAAGTCGGAAGGACGGCGAGACCGCGATTTGGTCGACATCAGGAATGGAAATAGTAAC